CATGAAGCAGATCTGTAGGAGCTGGCTCAGGGATGAGGCCATTGATAAAACCAAGCTTGTTCTTGGCAGCAAGAGCATTGTACATAGCTCTGCTCCAATCGTTGTAATTAGTAGAGGTGAGTTTCTCACTGACGAGAAGGAGACCAGGCTGTTGTTCAGATCCATGTAAGAAGAATGGATCTTCAAGCTGGTAAAGATTTGGTGGTGGTTGTGGTGGTGGTTGAGGTGGGAGTTTTTGATCATCATTGTTAGCGTTATCAGCCATGGCGGCGGAGCAAGGCTAGGTGGAGGGCTCTGATACCATAACAAAGGTTGAAACCCTAAGGGCTAAAGCCTTTCGCATTTATTCATCTAGTTCTTATATTGAACCCATTACAGAACAAGACAAGCATACACAGCTACATGTTGTTTGTTTGCTTGAAATGGAAACAACCTCAAGCTTGACAGGAAAGTAAACACAGGGTCGAAGAAAGGTAAAAACGACAAAGCATAGGATGGTGAAACTAAAACGCTGCACTTAATCAAAACGGTGTGCATCAGTGACTTGAGTCATCTTCTTCGTCTGTCAAATGGCGCTCTTCTCCAACGGTCGAAGTGGGACTGATTAGGGATTTGAAATCCAGGGATGTTAGCCTCCAGTCAAACACCCGAAGGTCAAAGTGTATGTTTCGTCCACGACCACATCGCAACAAAAATGAGTGCGGCTGTGATCGAAGAATTAGGAAAACCAAAAACTCATGATTTCACATATATTCCCTTGCTTCTGTTGCTCACGACGAGACCCAGGAAAGGCAATTAACCTAGAATCCTTTGATTATGAGTTTACTGTTTTGCATCTGGATTCCTTTGATTACTATTAAAGCTTAATACTTCACTTAATTAGGCTTGAATTCCCTTGCTATTTGATAAATTTTGGGTTGAATTTGTTCATTTTATTGGGGGTCTGTTCTCGGTCAAACTTGACATCAAGTTTTGTACAATGAAGGTGAAGGGACGGTGGTGGGGGCACACGTAGAAGAAAGAACTGGAGGGGTGGGGTTCTTCTCGAAAGTACATGGGTAATTAAAAGAGCAGAAAAAGTAAATAAATTTAATATTTATTTATTTATAAAATAATTATATAAATTGACAATGAAGGGGTAATATCAAGGTTGTTAAACCCCTATCGAACCCCCCGGTTGGACCCGGTCCGACCCGAGTCGGACTTCAAAATGGCCTCCAGAAAGCCCCCCGGTCTGACCCCTAAAGAGGAAGAAGAAGAGTGGGGGAAGAGAGGAAGAGGAACGAAAGAAGGGAAATGTTGGGTGGATCATGGAGGTTAGGTAGATTTATTTTGTTGAAAATAAGTTTTTAATAGATACATGTAAGATAAGTTTTATTTCACTCATTAAATCTTTAATTACTACCTTATTTGTATATATATTTAGAAAACGTCTAAAACGGCTCAAACCGGCCGGACCCCGATCAGACCATTAAACCTCAAACCCCTTGCTTGACCGGCTCAATGACTTAAACCGGTTTGACAACCTTGGGTAATATAGTCATTTCCAAATTGTCCCAGACCTTACTAACAGGAATTTGACGGAAATAGTAACAGAAGGATACATTTGTTACGGCTCGATAGTTAAAGGGTATAAAAATGCAAAAATATAGTAGAGGGGCATGTTTGTTAACTTGTGATAGTAGAAGGGCATAAAATGCTATTAACCCTTCACATTACTATATACAAACTTAATATAATTTAATGTTCACTAACCATTTAGTTAATTTGCACTTAGGTTCATCTCTTCTCTTGACACGTTTACAAACGAAACAAGGTAGAAGGGGAAAAGAAACAAGTCTTGCCCCATAAATTGAAAATTACAAGAAAACAAGGGATGAGGAAAAACAAAATAGGGCATTACATAATGATAAGAGTAAAAGGGAGAATATTGAGATTCTTTATTAGTATCTATAAGTAACAGTAAATGACAAAAAAGTAGGGAGAAAGAAAAATAAAAGAACCACCATATTAAAAGAAGATTGAGATAATGAATTTTCTTAATTAGATTTGAATTCGATCATTAAAATTGCAAACTAATTATAATATCAAATTAATTTTTAGATGGGATCAGTCATTTATGCACTGACCGACTGTTTGTAATTATCCAAGACAAGAACCGCTTTGATCTAAGTGGTTCACCGATTTAATGTTGTTCCCAAATTACTTAACAATTAAAACATATAATGGGAGGCCAAACATGAAAAGTTTGCTAATTAACAAAATATTTTTTCTACTTTCTCTTCGTTTCATTTTTCAATTGCCCTCTATCTCGCTTTCTTCATTTCCATCTTTGCCTTATTTTATAAACCCCAACAGGTCTTTAATAGTTAATAATTGAATCATTAATTACTAACTTTTCCATCTAAATGTCCATTTCAATTAAAAAAACATAGATTTTTTTTCCTACTTATTACTTAGTAGTTAGTAGGTGTTGTTTAATTTTCCTCCTAAGATTTGAAGGCATGGAATTTTAAGATGAATTTCACTTTGTATTTCCTTTGCTTCTCTCTCTATAGTTTTTTTTTTCACGTTCACAAAAGTTCATCATCGTAAATACATCAACATAAAAGGAAACAAATTTCAACCGGCAACCACAACAACACAATGGTTGATTAGCTTGCGGCAAAGCGCAATCTCATCCAAGTGAAAATCTATCTATCTATCTATCTATCTATACATAATATTATGGCAATTCAAAATTAAATTTTTGCCACATAAGCACTTGGAGAGATCTCAAGTTGCCAAGGTGGACAATTGTTATACCAAAAAAATAGTTATTGACCTATTTATGGAGTTGTCCCTCTCTCTTCATTTAATATTTAATTCTATTTTATCCAATAATTATTTTGCTTTTGTTTTTGCATTATATCTATAAATAATATATGGACAGAAATGTTATCAAACTGGTTTAGCAAGTGAAATGGTTTTACCAGTGGAACAACCGGTTTGTGTCGTTTCATGCCGGTTAATAAAATATGTAGAAATATAAAAAATCATTAATATCAAATGAATTTAATCATATATAAACCATATTTGAAGACAATTTACGTACAATTCATATTGATATTTGAATAAAATATGATATTTCAAATAAAATTACATGTACTCATACTTAAATTCACTAAAACTATGTATTTTACCTAGAAATTCGTAAAACAATCATACCGGTCATACCGATGATGTCATGTCGATTTCATGACCAGTACCGGTTGAATGATTCAACCGGTGGCATGCCGACCGACGTGACAATCATGATGGAGAGTGACATATATCACATTTTAGTTTTGCATTAAATCGATGTACGCAACAGTATATTGATGTTCGTAGAGTGACATATATATCACACTTTTTAAACAAAAAAATATATGATTAAAGATTACTATGTAAATTTTTGCTCATTTTTACTAAAACTTAATAATAATTTACATTTTAATGAATAATTCAAACAAACACACACAAATAATAATATTTTCTCGATAATGTCTGAAAGAAACTTGACCAAGAAATAATAGATATTTATTAAAAAAGCTTCTTATTCAATCTGATCAAGTGAAAACATATGAATCGCATGTGCAGTATTTATAATGTATCCTAAGTTCACATTACTAATATTTTCTCTAGGTCATGTTGATTGAGCAAGCTCTATTGAGGTCTTACATCATATGCTAAGAAGTTTTCTTTACAAACTTGGAGTTATTTATTGTTAAAGATTATAAATTGAAGTTTCCAAAATGACTTAGAGTATAATAGTTGATGAACTTTGACTGAGACACGAGATCATTTGAAAAATGGATTAAGGATGTACGTTAAACATCACATTCATGCTAAGAAAAATATAAATTCGAAGATTGAGGTAATAAATAAATGTAAATATTAATGTTTTACTTCACATATATAACAAAAAATATTTATAGTTACAATAGTGTAAACCGAGCTATTGGGTCAAAAGAAGAATATTTAGTAAATATGAGTTTAGTAAGAAAATTGTAACAAGTCTATATAGTTGTGAGTTTGTGATTTCATACCAAATTTTGGCAATAACAAAAAAAATTAATATCTTATTCCACCCAAGGAGCTGAGTTCAAAGGTATTAATTAGTGTTGAAAGTAACATAAATTCTCTCTATATATATATGTTTAGATATTAATAATAGATGTGTCTACAATACATTCAATAATTTAAATACATGTAAAAAGCCACAATGTTTGTATGAACTTTTAAATTTTGCTACAAAATATTTGTTAAACAAAATCCAAAAAGTTCAAACATATAAATAAGTTAACTAATATAAATAATAAAATAACTTTTGGGTAAAAAACTAGTTCTAAATAAGAAAGAATATCCCTATAGCTCTCATCCTCACGTAAACCTAAAACACTTTAGTCTGTACAAACTACAAATACAAACACCGGGATCCTAACGGCTTTGTGAGTGCCCTCCCTAAGAAAAAGAAAATGTTATATGCTATGCTAGATAAATTATCATATCTACATCAGTATGAAAACCCCACACCACAAGGAAAACAGAGCAAGGGCCGAAAGATCCCCACCACTTTCTCTTTTCCTCTATTTGGGGTGTTCTCTTTTTCCTTTGATAATCCTTGAAAGTTGAAGCTTAAGAAACCCACATTTCCAGTTTCCCACACTGACATAGAATTGTTTGATTTTGCGGCCAACAAACCCAAGTGGGATCTAATCCAATCCAATCCAATCAATCCCTTTGAACATAACAAAACAAACAAACAAGCAAGATAGAGATGGAATCAAAATCAAAGACATTCATGATTTCATTTAGCCCCTCCATTGTCCCCCTCCCACCCACCACTTACTAACAAAGTCTGTATTCCAAAACAAAAATCCCACTATACAAACAACAGGAAGAACTTCTAAACCTGCAGTCCCAAAGTCTAAGAGATGAACAGTATCCCCCTTCTTCCCCACACTGCCCCCTCTAATTTACTAGACTCTAAGCAGATAGATGCTGAGCTCAGGAGCGCCATTGCTATCTGGGTTCAACATGTAGAAAGCTTCTGAATCCCTGGACCCAACGATCCTCTCGAACTTGGCTCTCATGTACATGATCTCTGTCCTTTCCCCTTCCCCGTAGCTCGGCATGACCCCTGCCCCCATGGAGATCGGCTCCAGCGCGTTCAGCAGCTTCCACTCCTTCGCCCCGCACTCTTTCCTCCCCGCGAACCCGCACTTCTTCCCGTTGCAGTAAGCCCTCCAGCTCTGCTCCTCTAGCAACCGAACCGCACTGCTAGAATTGCCAGCACTCGAGGCAGGGGAAGCTACAGAGGCAGCTTTTCTCCTCTGGCGATGATTGTCTTCTCCTTGCTTCTTGTCGCACTCCAGGGCGATTCTGACCAACCCAGATGCCATTTCCTTAACAAGACCGCTAATTGGCGTCGCCAATTCGATGAGGAACGCAGGCGGGGAAGTGGGATCTTTCTGGAATGCGAAATGGACGTGGCCCTTTCTCGACCCGAACAGGGTACCCACGACCCGAGGCCCAAGACCCGACGACGACGACCCGAACCGGTTCCTGTTGAAACTGGAGAGAACGGATCGGAGCCTGGCCACGGCCACGGCGGGGAGCTTCTTTCTGGGAGTTGGGATTCCGCCTCCTCCGAACCTGGCGTTGCTCTCGTCTCTGGTGATCGAGGAGGCGGAATGCTTGAGGGTTGGAATCGCAGAGGGTTTGGCGGCGGTTGGTGGGGGGATTTCGTCGTCGTCGTCGTCTTCGGTTCCGATCTTTTTGGTCCAGTGGAAGTGGTGGCGTTTGGAGCTGGAGGATAGCTCCGGCGCGGGTCTAGTCGACATGTTTTTTTGCTTTGTGGAGAGGCAGAGTGTAATGGGTAATGAGTAGAAACAAGGAACAAGGCGGCTGCTTCCTCTGCTTCTACTTGTGGGAAAGCAGAGTGATCATGGTGGGGTTTCTAGTGTGGGAAGGGAATCCTGACAAAAGAAGTAAAGGGGGGAAAAAGAAACAGAGGCAGGGAGGAAGGAAGGAAGAGGACTAGAAGAGAGTTAAGAGTTGTACTACTGTGGTGGTGTGGTGTTATTATAAGGAGGTCTGTTGGTATTGGAATGGGGGAAAGGAAAGGAAAGGAATCAAAGTAGTAAAGAGGGAGGGAGGGGGACAGTGAGTTGTGTTATTTCTCTTTGTTTGTGGGGGCACTGAAGAGAAGGCAAGGAACTCTCTTTTCTGTCTCTTTTGTTCTTTCACTTTTCTTTGTTCTCCCATTTTAGCTCCAACCCGAAGGGAGTGAAGTAGTAGCAAATAGCAACTAGGTAGACCAACCTCGTAAGAGTGGTTCACAGTTAATTCCAAAGATTTTGTGTTTTTCCCCCCTTCTTCCATTGATTCGGTTCTTGGGTTGAGATGGACAAGGTTGTTAAGGTCTATGCTTTATGTCATTAATTCTGATAGCTTGTTCATCACTCATAGTTAGCTTACAAGAGTTGTTGAATGTTCTCTACCGGTCCAATTGTTTTGGTAATTTTGAATGTCAGACAATGAGCCGAGGTGGCAAATGGATTGGGTCAATGGATTGGTGAACTGAATTGGTAGATCCTTAGATCACATGGATTGGTGGATTGATCCATGAATACAAATGAAACTGATGCCTTGGATCAATATGTAAATTTTGAAAAATTTTAGGTACCAAAACATAATTTTCTAATGATATTTTTTGTTAAAAAATAAATTTTAGATACCAAATAGTAAAGTATAAAAGTGTAGGTACTAACGTGTAATTTACCAACATTCATGAATCCAATAAATATTATTGGATTTGGATCAAATGGATTGGATTTAAATATATTGGATTAGTTCGCTTAATTTAAGTGGATTTGTGAATTAGATTATAAATTGCCATCTCTACCTTCAACTAAACTCCACGACAAGCTCTAGTCTTTGACAACATAAATATAATTAAAATTCACCCCACCATCATGCTATTTTTGTACTTTAGTATTGCGGCCATCTTAGAAAGTTAGATTTGTTAGGATTTTTTTTATGAATATTTGTTAGGATTTTTCATATTTATAGATGGAAATTTTTTAGTCGATTATTTGAAAAAGAGAATTTTATTTACGTAATCTAATATTCGTTATTTCAAACACATTCTCTTTCCTATATTTGTTATTGGCTTTTGTAAGATATATAAGCAATACTTTTCTGTAAGATATACACTTTCTCAGACGTTTGTAATAAACTTAATCAAGTAAATTTAGAAAGGGATTTAGGATTTATAAATGATAATTAGAGATTTAGGATAGGAAAAACAAAACTGGATTGAGAACTTAGGAGAGGAATGATCAACAACCTTAGAGATAAGTAATGAAATTGAGATATGAGAGATTATAATTTTGAGAGGTACTTTTTATACTGCTTCTTTGATTAATTCTAACGTAATGTACAAAGTACATTTATATGAATTATAGTCGTGAAAACTTAATAATTTAATCCTAAAATGATCGCCGTTTGGTCAACTGTCATCTTTAACGGGCAACGAAATTAGCAGGATATAAATGGCACAAAATATGATAGTTCATGACATGAATGAAATATTGAAAACAATAGGACACAAGTGGCATTTTCCGGATAGTTCGGATGTTGTAGTGGTATTAGCCCTAATACTAATTTAATAGTTAAAGGAATAGGCTTGTGTTTCTAAACAATTTTCCATCAGTTTATCGTTAGAAAAGAAAAAGACATAACAAGGCATTGACTGGTACTCTGGTAGTATGATTGCTGCCTAGTGGCAACTACAACCCAACATCTCAACTCTACCAAAAACTCAAACTTGAACTTAAAACTCTTCTCGCCCAAGATCTGAAACAGAACAAACATTACAGAACAAAACAAGAAGAAAGTATAGGAGTTTTATGAATAGTAGTGTGTGTTATTATGAAACCACAAAGGGGTTTATATAGATTACAAGACTTGGGCAATAAGTAAGAGAACCACAATACTAAAAGGACACGGAAACATTAAGAACTATACTAGATGGACAAGAAAATATAAGATTATTCCTAATCTATCTGTAACACGCCCCCGCAAGATGATGGTGTGAAGAACAACATCAATCTTGACCAAAATACGCCAATTTTGAAGAACACGCCCCCGCAATGTGGTGGTGTATAATGTGCTGCAAACTCGTCGAACTCTCGTGCTTGAAGAGCGAAGCCAACTAACCGTCGTCTTGGAGAAGAAGAAATCATCAAACTTGCAATTCATATGTTGCAACAAAACTTACTCGTTGTCAAAAATTGACCGGAAACGAGATGAACAATAATCAATTGGTTTTAACGATACCAATAAACGGAAACTAGTGTAGGACACGAAGAATTCATCCGAATGACTGTGGTCGGAGAAACTTCCTTTGTTCCATACACACAAAGGAGAGATGGCTGGAGATTGACTGTGGACTCCATACCATACAAACTCTTGAGCAATCAGCTGTAAAAGCCGGAGCCTCATCTCCGAAGTAAGGCGGCAGTGATCGAGCTTCGTAGCACAAAAATTTAGCAGAGTCGGAGACAATGAAAAATAGGGATGAGTAATTGATGAAAAATTGATTTGGGGAATGACACTTTAGACACTAGGACAATGGGATGCTTTTGGCGCTGCTGGGGACGAGAGAGAAGGAAGAAGATTAGGAATAAAATGAAAACCCTATCAAACTGAATAAAAAACAACTAACGAAATTATTTGGAAAATAAAAACAAGGAAAACATAATAACATGAAAGGCAATTGTGGGATGCAGGGTTTAAGTTTGCGGAAGGGAGGAGGGAATTAACCGGGGGAGTGAGGGCTCATCTCGCCGGTGAATGAGAAAAAAAAAAAGGTTTTAGGGTTCCTGGATCAAGGCTGTTAAGCTAGAGGCTCTGATACCATATAGGAGTTTTATGAATAGTAGTGTGTGTTATTATGAAACCACAAAGGGGTTTATATAGATTACAAGACTTGGACAATAAGTAAGAGAACCACAATACTAAAAGGACACGGAAACATTAAGAACTATACTAGATGGACAAGGAAATATAAGATTATTCCTAATCTATCTCTAACAGAAAGCACAAAAGGGGAAAGGAAGGAAATCAGACAGCCATTGCAGACATGCTGACGCCATGCTGTCACTCCTTCCATTAAAAATAATACATGCTCTGCAACCGAAGCACAGCAACTGTAGCCTTCGTTCTGCAACAGTGTTGCCTGCCTTCGTAACATGAATCAGGGGAGGGAGCAGCGTTGGGTTCAGTAAATCAAGTCCAGCAGATTTTGTTTCTTCTGATGAAAGGTCACCATTACGTTTGAACCAACCTGCTCTCTCTCTCTCTCTCTCTCTCTCACCACCTTCAACACCAATACAATTACCCTTTACACTTTACCTTCCCAAATGGGGCCGACTATGCTCCCTCTCGAAGTTTGGCCACGTCTTTCAGATGTTCACCTTGTTCTTGTTGGCATCTTTGTGTTCGTGGCATCAATGTCATGGGTTCACTAAACTGAACGCTAATGGGCTTATCAGAATCTGTTGCCTTATGCACCCATAGGCCAGAATGATGGAATGATCAAATTTGATATCATTACACCAGATCATGACATTTAAGCCATCCAATGGTAAATTAACCACATTATTCTCCACCCAAACATGGAATAATATGGGGCATAGAAAAAATTTTGGTTACTATGTTGTTGGGAGTCAATTCAAATACGGTCTAACGCTTAATAGTGTTAGAACATCACGAGAAAATTAATGATTCAGGCAATTCGCGTTCAAAGATCGTTGGATACATGTGGTAAAAATTTTGTAGATGATTGCACATCAAAGGACCATCAACAGACAACCTAATCCCAATAAGAGTTAGAATCTAGGCCTAGTTTGACACCAACACCATCAAATTGAGGTCACCTACAATATCAAGCATGGGATAATACAAATATATGAATGATGCAACCAATTCAAACGACTGAGATGGCAGTAAATCATAGTGTCGCAAAGTGAAACCAAAGCCCTGAAACAAAGATTGAAGCATGTGACATTGTTACTGGAATACTTTGTTAGTGTGCATTATCGACATTCTACAAATGGTTATTGATAAGTTGTTCGCAGCAATGACCACATCTAAAACCAAACATTGCGTCTAACCACTGTTTAAGAAACACTACCATAGCAATCGATCGATCCGAACACTAAACCCAAAACAATGACTTTTTTTGCTCTTTAAAATGGTTGAACTACAATTAAACCACCACTTTAGTACAAAATACTCTACCACTGGCTTTTCTAATATAACCTCCTTTTCTAGTTTCAAAATCCTTGGTCTACACAATCATTGAGCTTTTACAACACAAGGTAACACGCAAGGAAAGAAGAAGGGTGTCTGGAGGACATACTTGGAAGTAATTACATTTTCCTGAGTTGTACATCACGGTGAAGATCCAAAGGGGGCTAAAGTACACATATCCAAGCGCATATCCACAGCGGTACTAAACTGCACTTGCCAACTGCATTCTTTGTACAAACCTACTATATATATTAATAATCATGAGTGAAAAAAATAAAACCACTACTAGAAGGAGCGCACGGTAGAAGATTTCTGTGAGAGATGCCTGCCTGACTGCCTATGTTGCTATCCCAAACCCAATCTTTTCAAGTACAAGAAAAGATAATGAAAAAGGCTGAAGTACCACTACTACAAATTAGCTCTCTAAACTTCTATCGTCCTCCGGTTGTTGCTTCGGGGCAGCAACCCCACCGCCATTCATTCTCGCTCTTGCCTCTGCAAACATTCTCTGTTGCTCTGCTGCTGCTTCTTCCTCCGTCATCTCTGTTCCATTCCACTTCCCGCCACCACCTTTCAAAGTGTCCTGCTGAAATCAAGCACAAGAAATCAGCATTCTCTGTCAAGCCAGAATTTCAACAAAAATGGTAGGGAACAAAGGAGATCGACTCATCCTCGGAAATTACCATTGTTTCAAGCTTGTGTTGCTCATAAGCAGCATAAACCTCCTCGATGTACTCTCCAAAACCAAGAACCTGACAAGGGCAGAGATAGGGTGTTAGGTGACTAACTCAACATATACTCTTATCTTAACATTCACACAATTCAATAATTTCTTGGAAAGCATTGGCTGTACTTTGGCAGTCATTTTTCACATAGCCAAACCAAGGTTTAATTCACCTTCCAACATACTTCTTTATCAGAACAATTGAGCCTAAACCTGCCACCCAAATAAACAATACGGATAACTGACAAAAGTTGAATAAGGTAGGAACCTCCAGAGCCTTGAGAACATGTTCAGGTGCAATGGTTCGCTTATCTTCTCTGCTACATACTTCATTAGACTCTGAGGATATAAGATTAATGAACTCTGCAAAAAAGAGATGACCCCCATTGAGCATACACCCATGCGGAGAGCAAAAACTACAGACTAAGCAATGATTATAATGATTGAAAACACAGATGGAAGAGACAATGAGGCAATAAACAGGAGCTACTGAAGACTTCCAGCCACAAACTATATAAACCTGTTGAGGCACCTAGGAAACTAAGTACAGTGTGGGAAAAGAACAGAATAATCTGGGATAGAGCATGATAAAATGGGTTAAATCCTCAAAAGAAGACCAGAAGCCAACAGATCTCCTACAAGAAAGTTATAACGCAACAACAGACTATTAGAGACGATAAGGGCCAACACACTGCTCGAAAAATACAGAAAAAACTCACCTACACAACATTCAATCAGAAGATCTTGAGCATCCCGTGCTACACGAACGTCTGGTGGCAACATCTCTTTAATAATTTTGGTCATAGTTGCTGCGAACAAAGAACACACAATCTGTGTCAGTAGAAGATCAGACATGTTAATCCAACACGCACAACTAGAATCAGCACCGACAAGCATTTTAGATGATGCAAAAGCATAGAAATCATAGACAAAGAAAACCATTAAGGGATTAACAGCTTAATGCGTTATATCATACAACGGCAACATTAGTCCTGATAAAGAGTAATCAAGGCACGAAATGAAGCTCCAGGTGATCAAGAAATCCCATTACAAATTCTCAGACATCAAGACCATACTTAACTTACAGTGACAATGTGACATCACCCCATGACTAAGTAAGAGGGCAAGATACCATTGAACAATTGAAAGGGAGGGCTAAGAGTTTCATACACAGCTGACACGACCAAACCATACTACCTATTCGCCTCTCCCCTGCGACAGAGGGGTTTGACAATATCGATGCAACTCATGTCAAGGCATAATTTGCCTATCCAGAGCACACAAAAGACCATGACCAATAAGCCTAGTCTCCTCATAACCTTGCGAAACGATTACTCTTACAGTTACAGTCAAAGGACCTACCATAAGGTTAGGTACCCAAGTAAGTTATTCATCGGAAGATCTTTCAACCATTCCCTTAATAGTTCCCAGCCCAGCTCCAATATCTTCAGGGGTTGGCTCCTATGTTTCTTCTAGCCAAGGAACCGATAACACAAAGATCCCATTGATTGTATCATCCATCAAATATTTCCTCCAACGAGCATGTCAAATCGAAACATTCAACAACACACCACATGGAAACTCAAACAACAGCTGAAGCCGTACATAATTGATCCATAAAAGAAAAGCGACGATCCCTTGCAAACCAGAGATTCTACCTTTAGGAAGAGAAGCGTCTTCCTTCGATTTACCAACAATATCCATCGGGTCCATCTTTACTTCTTTTAAACCCTAAACAGCGGAAGAGAATAAAATCAGTACCAAGGCCACAGATAACATCATATAGAATCAAACCAAAGGAAAATTAATCAGAAGAGAACACAGATCTGGAAAACGTAGAATCGGAAAAAACAACGGCGGCGGAGATATAACCGAGGAAAGAGAGAGAATTAGAGAGAGGGAGAGAAGAGTAAGCAACTCACTGAGTCAAACCGCTGGGGCGGGGGTGGAGAGAGCGGGGGGAAGAGTTTTCCGGAAACACCTAGAAGGAGCGAGTCGACCGGTTGGGGATCCGAGTCGGAGTGCCGGCGTAGGGAGCGATCAAGCGGGAGAAGAAGAAGATGGAGGGCGGAGGCGGCATGGCTGGTGATGGTGATGATACATATGGATTTTATCAGGAAAGGGCATATGATATGATGATGGTGGTGGTGGTGATGGTATCGTCACTTTCCCTTCTATCCTCTACTTCACGATAAGCGACGCAGGTTTCGCTCCCAGGCGATTAGGGCAAAGCAACCAAAAAAAAAAAAAGTTCCCAATTGCCAACAGTTCCCCACCTCCCCCGGCACCCACCCGGCCACCCCGAAAAACATTATGAAGAAAAAGAAAAAAACTGATTGGTTGCTTCTCCTCCTTTGAACGACGCGCGGGCGTGCTTACTTTGGAACTACGGTTGACCGAACTTCTTGCCTGTTGCAGTCGCTGACTCGCTGGTGGGACCCTCGCTGTTTTGATGGGTGGTGAGGCACACGGATCGTTTAGCGCGTGATAAGAGTTTACTGTTTTTTTTTTCTTTTTCCGCTTTAACTTTTGTGATTTATCTTCTCGTTTGTTGAGAGAGAACGAATTTCACAAGGGGCAAAAACAAAAAGTTGAAACATTGGGCGAATCAGAGGTCGTTTCTCGTGTCTTCTCGCGTAAGGACGGGGGTGTCAATGGGCCCGTACTCTTGACTTTTTCGTTAGGTGCCGTGGAGGATTAACAAGAACGAGGTCGGATGGTGTTACTGGGCCCGTCACCGGCAGGCTTTTGTGTCCAGGAAATTCAACGGGCCAGCCCATCAGGATATGTTAATATGGTTACTGTGGAGGCAAAGAAAGAGAGAATTGAGAAGCAGTAGTCAGCAGACAAAAAAATGAAGTAAATATTCAGTACCACAGAACTGACAGAAGAGAAAGAGGCAGGAGAGGACTAAGAACTACGAAGAAACTATGAAACAAAGAAGGATCAATTCCTTACTCACAAAATTACAAACATCAATTACAAATATAAGGCTTCAAGCCGACTCTCTAGTTCTGAAACTAAAAGAACCATATGTCTTTGTAGCAGCTACACCAACTTTGAACTGTCCAGTTTCCAGGATGCACGAAGACCCTGAACTTCAATCAGCCTATCAGGAAAATTAGACCAAAAGAATATCATCAGAGGAACAAGAATCGGAAGGCAAATATCGAGCCACCAAAACCTAACGGTACATGGTGTTAAAAGGTGGAAAAGCAAAGATGTCGCGAATCTTGAAGATGGAGAACTTTAAAGCATATGGTGACAGTACTGTTTAGTTAGCATGTAGGTGTTGAGAGACCAAGACAACTAATGCATAGTAGTATTGACATGCCAAAGCAAAGATGGAAAAAGACCTGATACCAATTTGATTAGTAACACAGCAGAATTGAACCATAACTTGTGGATCACAATTCATGCTAATTATTGTGAGTGCATTCCGAAGAGTGAAGGACATAGATCAAGAACAACCAAAATGCATGATGAACTCTGTCGACGGCCAGCGGTGAGATACAGATAGCAGTTTCAGAGTGGTAATTCATACATCCATAGGCATAATAGTGCAGGCTTACATAGTTATCTGATTATTCAAAGGTAAGTAATTTGGACGGTATAACTTGCTACAGCACTTAACTGCGCATCCAAATTCATAGCCAAAGTACAAGTCCAGAGAGAACAAGAAACTTTGTGACCTTGAACATCTGTGACTCACATCAAACACTCGGTTCAAAAAACAGATGGCAAAGACAAAAACCAAAATATACCATCCTTACATCACAGAGTATCACAGTATTCAAATTCAGCAACAATCATCAAGTGCACACAGGCGATTTTGATTCGATATCAAGGATGGGGATTCATTCCGAGAAAAAGTACCTAGACGAGTTCAATGTATGCCATGGGGGCATTGTCCCCGCGCCTGGGCAGAGTTCTGATAATTCTAGTGTATCCGCCATTTCTTTCCCCATATCTATCCGGGACTTCTGCGAACAAGGCATGCACAATCTGCTTCTCGTAAATGAAACCCAGTGCCTGTCTCCTCTTGTGAAGCGACCCATCCTTGGCTAACGTAATCATCTTGTCAACAAACTTCCTCATGGCGCTAGCCCGAGCTCTAGTGGTTTTGATCCTACCGTGCTTCAACAACTGCGTAGTCAGGCCTCTCAGCAATGCTTTGCGTTGGTCCGGAGGCCGATTGAGCCTCGCAATTCGTTTCCCATGTCTCATTGCGTAGAATCGTGACCCATTATCAATGGAAGGGAAGCAATGGTTGCTAGCATGTTCTGCAAGAACCAATCAACCCAAAGTGACGCACTAACCACAAAATTGACGCAACAAGTAGTTAAATGCAGCTAAATTATCAATTGGATGCAAAAAAACAGGCAATTAGAAGCGTGGAAACGAAAAATTGAATCGTTGGTCGCGAAATGAATTATAGCGACGAAGTCAAATGTGAAAGGAGCAGGAAGCGGAAAGTTACCAGAAAAGCCAAGGGAAAGGAGAGGGTTAAGAGGAGCAAGTCCGGCAAACGAGTGCAGTGGCGAGCTGCGGCGAGCGACGGCGATGGCGTGGGAGGTGCGAGAGGATTGGAATCGCATGCGGGCAATAGGAGGATGAGAAGAATGCAGAGAGGGACTAAGGAGAGCAGCGCTTAAGGATGCCATGTTCCATCTGCTGTCACAAGTACCGGCCGCCGCCGCCGTCATGAGCATCGTCATCTTGGCCTTTGCTAATCGCTCTTTTCTTCTTCTTTCTCGCCCAGAGCTCCGACCGAGGACTGTCCCGTCCCGTCCCGTCCGTTCTATGGATAAGGAATGGATTAGGATATGGAATCGACCGAGAATAAGCTAATGCATGTTTGCAACCGGGCCTAGTATTCGGGAGCCCGAGTCCAGCCCACACTATAGGAAATGGGCCCAGCCCCAAGTAAAATGACGTTTGGAACTAGGAAAAGAGGTCTCGTGAAGCCGAACAAGTCTCGCCGTCCTGCTATCGACCACGTTCAGTCGTCCACCGTCGACGGGCTCTCTTTTTCTTGCCCGTCTCTTGCTAGCCAGAGAACGAGGGAGTCTTCTTATCTATCATCTCCATTCGCAGTACCTTCTTACGCTTTCCCCTTTGATCGGCACTCGATTTAAAGGATATGGACGAGCGGGATTTGGTGTTCTACGGGACGCCGATAGAGCGAGAAGAAGAGCTTAGCAGCCGTAAGAAGAAGGCCGTCGCTGAGGCTTCCGGTCAGCTCCGGACCCTACCTACATGGAAGCAGGAGGTAATGATCTGTTTCTTCTGTCTATTTCTGATTCTGGGGAAGTTAGACTGTTTCAGTAAGAGCACATGAAGAATTCTCGTCCTGATTAATTCTAAGCTAGAATGTACTGATAGAAGTGTGGAGATTAGGTCTTTGATGGTTTCTGCGTACCCTTATGAGAATCGAACAGACTCTTTTCTGAATGAACACTGCAACTAAGTCATGTGAATTCGTGGTTTCTGCGTTTGTTTATAATCCTGGACTACTTATGTTCAGGTTAGAGACGAAGAGGGGCGAAGAAGATTCCATGGAGCATTTACTGGTGGATACTCTGCTGGTTATTACAATACAGTGGGCTCTAAAGAAGGTTGGTTCGTTTGCTCGCTCTTGCACGCAGAGTACAAGTGCTCTGTACTCTTTCATTTGCTTGGTGAGTCGTTTGATTGGACACATGGGTATTGTTTAACAATTTGCAGGCTGGGCTCCTCAAACATTTACTTCCTCGAGGAAAAACAGAGCTGAGCTTAAGCAGCAGAGCATCCTGAACTTTTTGGATGACGATGAGAAAGCGGTATGATCTTTTCTAGCAAAATTGTTTGTAATAGTCTTTCTTTATGGCTCTAACCTTATCACTGCTAGCGAGTGACTAAACATGGAGGATTTCTGTGGGCTTAACCTGACTTCTCAATTTAGAAATTTGAAGGAGGGGAATCTGACACCCTATCTCCATCTCGCACCACTTTTCCCCCCCTTATTGTGTTAGTTTACTCTTTTTGGGTCAGCTGTTAGTTGAATTTGGGTAATGGAGGGGGTGATTAGTCCATGGCCCTTGGAAACGGGGACTGTAAGATGTGATATATCATATAAGGGTAGGGTTTAGTAGACAGTGCCCTTCTTCTTTACTTCAGTACTTCAATTTTGACGTGATCTTGCTGTATATGGTCTGTGGGAATCCAAGGTACTCATCATTTGTTTGAAAACATTTAGCGTTAAATACATTGCATATTTCAGTATTTCTCAGTTATCTAGTTATTTTGTTTAGTTTTCTATTCCTTCTGTGGAAGAAGTTTTGTCTGGGATTGAGCTATTTCTCACTTTCAATTTCTTTTAGGACTTGGAGGGTCAATCCTTGGCAACTTCAACACAATTTGATACATTTGGATTTACCGCTTCTGAAGTTGCTCGTAAACAGGCTGATAAAGAGCAAGATAAAAGGTAAACTCTTTATTCTGAAGGCGTTATCATTACTAATTGCTATCGTGTTGATATGCCATCGATGGTACCTATAGTTAAATCATGTAATCTACTCAAGTGTGTAAATTGACCCTAATGATGGCAATTTGAATCCGCCCCGCGGGTATTACCCGACTTGGTCCGTGATGGGGTGGGTATTACCTGACCCGTAGTAGCGTGCGGTGGGATATGGGTATCTACTTCTGATCCGCCCCGCCCTCCCCATTCTATCTCAATTTCTTATAGTATTCATTCATATTTCTCCTATTTGGACTTTTCTTCAATTAGTAGAGACGACCGTTCAACTAGTTAGAGTCAATTACCCAATCTATTATCACTTTTTTTCATTCATAAAGTGTTTTCTCCTTCGTTTTATCGTAAAAAATAAAATTTTGCGTGTATTTTCTTAAAATAACATGTAAGAGTGGGTTGCCCCGCCTCGTACCCGCACTGGTATTACCCGCCCCGACCCGACCCGCAATAGCGTGGGGCGGGGCATGGGTATTGAGGTACCCCGCCCCATTGCCATCACTAATTGACCCCGGATTCCATTTTGTTTTTGTTTCCATCTTTGCTCTCATAATCAATGGAGGGTTTGTTGGCAGCCAGAGCATTGAGTGTGTGGTCTAATGATTTAGCACATATTTCGCAAGAGGATGTCATCAACTTATGTTTGTATGAAGTACCTGGTCCTTGAGCCTTTTAGATCCTTGTGGTGCACATGTGGAATAAACTTGCTTTATATTGCTCTATAAAAAAGTGTAGTGATTGTTCTGTCAATGCAGTATGATTTTGTTTTTATTTCTCTGTTTTGATGGCCAAACATAATATAAGAGCTTTCTATAACACTTGCTGACGCAGACATTCTTGAATACTAGCTATAAATTCGTGTCAGTGTTAAGTCCCAGAGAATGGTGGCATGATATTTTTACTCCTTATTTTCATGGCAGACCATCTGCTATTCCTGGTCCTGTTCCTGATGAACTAGTGCTTCCGGCTGCTGAATCTATTGGTATGCTTGACTTATATCTTTGTTCGTTAGAGTTTTTGTTCTGCAAGTTTAGTGGCTCTTAGTGTACTTGCTTTGCCTTTGTCAAACAGGGGCGAAACTTCTACTTAAGATGGGATGGAGGCATGGCCGTTCAATTAAGGATTCATCCACAGATTCACTCTATGGTAAATAGTTTTGTTATATATGTTAATGTCTATCCATATTTATAGAAGATATATATCTAAAATGTTAGTTGCAAAGATAGGTTAGAACTTCTCACGTCAATGTAGTCGTATACCTCTGATGTTATTTTATCACTGCTTATCCTGCTTGTTATTTATTTGACTGCATTATGCACTTTCCTTGCAGATGCTCGTAGAGAAGCCAGAAAAGCCTTCATAGCATTTTCTTCAAGTGACGATACCAAATCAAATATTGATGGCGATGCAAATCATGTGAATGACCATTCAAATTCCTTGGAACGACCGGTCAATGATGATAATCTTTCTTCTCAATACACACCTGTGAGGAACTCACTGTTGTCTTTTCTTGGTGGAATTTATATTAGTTTATATGAATTTTTTGTCTCATGAGTCAATTCTTATATATTATCTAAAAATCTAGAAATATTCTCCAGATGCAACTATGTTGAACTTAGCTAGCTCAAGTAAAATTTCATTGTAAATCTTTGTAAGTGTAATTGGAAACTATTAAGATTTTATAGACTGATAAATAATCATAAACCACAAGTTAATGGATGCATATTTCACGTGGCGATCGTTTATGTTAGAAGTTATACCATCTACATTAATCTGAATGATTATAGAACTCGTTTCTGAAGTTGTGCCAAGTTATATGGGTAATGATTTAATGCAGTTAGGAATCGTGATTATTTAACCGTATTATTGCACTCATCTCTTCTTGTTGCAGTTGAATGCACTTCAGCCGAAGCAAGACTTGCACGGTTTAGGTTACGACCCTTATAAGCATGCTCCTGAGTTCAGAGGTTGGATATTTCATAGTGATTTGATGGCATCAGAAACTGAGTTAAAGTGTCCTAATTAGTTTCTTTCTCTAACTTTCAGAAAAGAAAAGGTCACGTGTATCTGGTACCCAAGGGCCTGGCAATAGTAAAGCTTTGACAATCAGAGATAATCTGTTTGGTTCCAAGTGTAAGATTTATTATCCTTTGAGTCTACTTCAGATTTAAATACTGCTCTTCTTGTTCCTTTTACCTTTGCCCATGGGTACTGATCTTTCTTGATTCCACTTACCTTTTATGATTCATCAGCAGGGAAGGCTGGACCTGGTTTTGGCATTGGAGCGCTAGAGGAATATGATATTGAAGATGAGGATGTCTATACCACTGGTGAGTATTTAATCATTTCCACTGCAGTATGGCTTGTTTGGTGACATAATTACAAAAGGCAGCAGCTTTTAGAATCAAACATGGTGAATGCATCAGTTTCATTTTTCCACTCCAAATTCACGATTCTTGTCCAACTCCAAATGATTAGACTAGTCGCATTGGTGAATGAAAAATTTAATCTGGCCTCTTTTCAAACCTTACGGTTATTTACTTACAAGATTATGCGTCAATTTCCTGTGCAGGGTCTAGACTTTGAAAAAATAACTTTTTTTTGTGTGTGTGGGTGGGGTGGTGGGGGGGGGGGGGGGGGGGGGGTTGTTTTCATACTCTCGCTCTAGTATAAGTTGGTCCTGATATTGTATATTTCACTGGGATCTTCATTTGCTCCTTCATTATTTATCGGGTGCATGTGACTTTTTGCTAATATATCCTTAAATTCAGGCTCAAGTACCCCTAAAAGCACTTTGATCATGTTTATATGGAAAAGCCAAATTTCGTTTGTGTTTCTGTTCTTTCAGCTTATGACTTTGAAGATACTGTCGTCCAAGAAGTAGAAGATTCCTCCAAACCGATCACAGACCATAAGCATAGATTGACCTGGAAGGAACCAGGCATTCTGCCTGGCTTCAAAGTTGCATCCATTTCCGATTATCAAGTGGAAAAGTGAGTAGCATAGTGCTTATGGAAGAGTTGCAGTATGTACATATTTGCTTCCATTTTGTACCAAAAGTTAGCTGTTACTTGTGGTATCCTACTCACAGCTGTATCTCAAGTTGTGTTTTTTCAAATTGTGCCCAGATTTAATGCTCCTGAAGTTCCTAAGGACTTTGTTCCACGCCACAAATTTGCCGGTCCTTTAAAGGTTGAAGATAAGACTGCTGTTCCCCCTCCCCCTGACGTTCCACCCCCCGAGGATAGTAATATGAAAGTGTTAATTGAGGGCGTAGCAACATTGGTTGGTCGATGTGGTAAATTGTTTGAGGATCTTTCTAGAGAGAAAAAT